AGTTCGCTTTCGCCGGCGGCTCCGCCGTGGGGCCGGGCTGCGCCGTGCTGGAGGCGGCCTTCCAGCGGTACCGGGCGCTGCTCTTCGCCGCCGCCCGCCCGACCGGTGAGGCGGGGCGGGGGCTGCCGGCGGGGCGGGGGGCGAGGCGGGAAGGGCGGGTGGCCCTTTCACGTGTGGCTTTATTTCCAAACACCGCACACACACACACACACAGAGGCACAAAACCAACCCCTCGTTATTTTGGGGGTCAAACCCCGGGTTTTGTGTGGTGGTCTGCACTTTAACCCCCTGAGGGCAGCTGGGGAGGGGAGACGGTGGCCGTGGGGCGATGGCGCGGGGGCTTGGGTTGGCTCTGGGAGCCAAGGGCAGCGACGGGCTCCTCTCTGGAGGCCCGTGCCTGTGGCACGCACGTTTTAAAATAAAACGAATGTAATCCTGTTTGGCACAGCACAGCGAGTGCTGGTTGCCTTGCATTCCCTTCAAGGAGTTAGGCTTTTGCTGTCACGAGTTTGCTCTTTCTGCCTCATGTTTTATCTCCTCCAGATCGTGTCTGGGCTCCCCGGCGCTTCCTTTTGCTTCCTTTTCACGCGACTGCGGGGAGAGCTGCTGCCAGCACTGCAGTCCCTCCACCTTCAGCCCTTTCCACGAGCCTTGGCTCTTTCCAGCGGCTCTTGGTGGCCAGCGTGAAGCTTTGCCTTCAGGAAAGGCTCTTGTCGCTTCATGTCTGTCTATAGCAGTGTGCCATGGGGCTCTTTCTGCCCCGGGGTGAGCTGTTAAGCCTTCAGAGGCTTTCCTGCCAGGGAGGTTCTTGGATCCATCCTGGAATTGCAAGATAAGATGAGGAAAGGCAAAAGCTTTGAGAGCCCGGCCTTGATTTGGGACAGGTCATAAAGGTTTCTTGCACCCGGTCTTCTTCATGATAACACCAGTGTCATGTCTGGGGTGAAACGGAGGAAATTCCTTGGCTACCTTTGCTCTTGGAATGCTCGGTGCCCGCACAGGTCTGCGGCAGCCTGGAGTGCTGTAGCCAGGGAATATGAAACACTTCATTCATCAAAAAGAGCTAGTAACTCTGCTTCCGAGTGTTTTAAATGTCAGTGTGAACTCTGTCGCCGCTGATCAAAGCGGGGAAGGGTGACAGCGGTGGAAGCCGCTCTGCTTCGTCTCGAGCACGTCGTGCTGTAACGAAGGCAGGTTTGAAACACTGAGAAGAACCGTTTGGCTTATTTTATTTTTTCAAATCTTGTAAGTAGCAATAGAAATAAGGTCTCATTTGGGAGCTGAGAAGAGTCCTCTTTTTTTCTTTTTTGCTACTAGGGACTAAACTTAAACAGCTGATATAATTATTCACATTTTCCTGTTCCTCTCAGAGGAGAAGTGTGACCGTGAAATCACTTGGAGCAATTTCTTGTGATCACGAGATCGAGCTCTGTGTGCATACTCACTGCTTTCCGTACACCCTGCTTTATGACACTCAAAGTACACTCTTAATTTTAGGGCTTTTTTCTCTCTTTGCCTGCCTTTTTTTTTTTTTTTTTCCACATGGATGGTTAGTAATAACAGGCAATGGAAGCCCTATATGGAAGAAAATAGTTTCTATTAATAGCGAAAATAAGAGAGAACCCGTTTTCTGTCTGTTTCAGAAAGCTGCTGTGTCAATTTAACAAGCAAGAGAGATTATGTCCAAACTCTGCATTCATGCTGGACTTCTAGCATGAAAAGGGAGACCAGTTTAAGTCAGGAGGGACATATGGGGGGTCTCTGGTCAAGCCCTGGCTCAAAACAGAGCCAAGCCAGGAGTTGGAGACAGCTTTGCCATTGGGCCGAGCTTCTGTGTCCACCTGAATTTGTGGTGTTCCCATGTGGAGAACTGAGCCCTTGCTGCAGTGTTTGACCATCCTCAGGGTGAAGAATATATATTTCTTTCCTTGTCTCTAACTAGGGTTTCCCTTGCTGCTCTTCCCTTGCTTCTTCTTGTTAAGTTGGGCAGCTCTGGAACGAGTCTGGGAGAGACCCAGGATAGAGCTCAAGCCAGGACCTGCCATCCCTGATGTCTTATTGCTGCCATCCTGCCCTGTCATTGCATCAACCTCTTTACCTTCTAGTCTGTGACCCTAATTAACTTGACATGAGCCTTCACAACGCTCTTTGGAACCATGAACTTCAGCCTTTGTGGCTGATGGGTCACTGGTCCCTGCTGTGCCTGTCTGCATCACCTTCTAGGTGTGATAGCGCTGGTGCCTGCCTGATCCTTGGCCAAAGAGGCCACGTTTGGGTTTGGCGATGTCTTCCAGGGTGGGTCTAAACATGGTGGGTGGTGGTGGGGCCAACTGTCTTGAGGCTTCTCAACAGAATGAGTGTTTCCCGTGCTCCCAGGCTGGAGCGTGGCCGTTCCTGGTGAGCTGCTGGCTCGCCGAGCGGAGGAAGCAGGTCTTGCCGTGCTGGCACGCCAGCTCGCACATCTGCGAGGTTGCCTTGGCTACCAGCTCGTCTGTAACCGAGAGGAAGGCTCGAAACTGAGGACTGTCTTTGAGCTGTTTCCCTTCTCTCTGTGAAGGTTTTGCCTTCCCTTCGTGGAGAAATCTGGGGGTTCTGGCTCCTGTGAGCTGTGGAGCACAAACTCTCTGCATTTCACCCAAATGCTGGTGGTGCCATGGTCTCTCTGAAGTCATCTTGGTGCCTGGCTTCTGACCCAGCTCATGCAAACCCAAGCTTTTTATCTTTCAGGGACAATATCAAGCATTGACTGCTTCTGGGAATGCGGGGGGGATGTAGGTGTGGATCTTGGCTGTAATTAGCAGGGTCCCACCCCACTAACTCGCCTTCCTTCTGGCCAGAGCCTGCTGTGAGTAGACCCGAGCACCTCAGCAAAGGCTGAACATCTCCCTTTGGAGCTGGGGGTGCGACTCCAGCGAGGATTTGGAGCTGTGCATCCCTGGAGGTGCTCCTTCAGATGGGGAGGTGTCTGCTTGGGGTCTGAATGTGGCTGGGTTTATTTTTCCCAGGTTCTGCACCTGGGACCTGCTCTGCAGAAGGTTAAGTCGGTCGGGAGCCTTTCTGGTCTGGGCAAGACCTTTTGGTGGCCTCTAACTCAGCCCAGTTCTGCATTATGCTTGGAATCGTTCTCCACCCTTTTTTACAGGGTTTCCTTGCCCTTTCTGAGAAGCGTGGGTAGGATAGCAGAGCTTTTGGGTTCGTGCTTTTTCCCCGGTGCTGGGAGAGTTTGGAAACATGAAGCTCTTCATTTCCCTTGGAGAAGATTTGAGTAGTTGTGGCTGTTGCTTAGAGCAGAGGCTGGTGTCCAGGAAGCCTTGCAGGCTGCTGCTAGACCATCCTCTGATGTCTCTTCTTCGTGTGCTCCTTTAAGCTTCCACTGCAAGCCTGGAAGCCTTCCCTGAAGCCTTCCTCACCACCAAGCCACCTCCGTGCTTGAGGTTGGCATCTGCTCCTGGTTGCCTGTGTTGAAGGAAGCCCCTGCTGAACACCCTTGTGCCAGTTCTAGGGTGAAGGAGGGGGTGCCTGTTTCTGCTACGTGTTTTAAAAGTCCATGTGCTCCTGCACCTCCATGACTTGCTGATCTGAGAGGATGGGAGTGGACTGGGAGCAGGGAAAAGAGCCATCATGGGGTTGATGTTCGTGGTCTGTGTCCTTTGCAGAGAATGAGCCACCCTGGGGGACACCCTGCACTCAGCTTCTCATCTTTGTTGCTACACCGGGCTGTGATGGGTTTCCCAGCCTGGACTCCAAGGAAAACTGTGAGTATTGGGGTTGGGAGCGGGAGGGAATGACTGGCTGTTTCTGTGCCTGTCAGTGGGACATAGCACCTTGCAGCGCTTACCCCCAATTTTGGGGAGGCAGCATCCTCATGGTATTGTTGAGAAACCCAGGGCAGGGAGGGAGCAACTTACCTGAGGATGCTGATAAAGCAGCAGGAGAGATTTCATATAAAAAAACAAACCCAAAAGTCGGTTCTCTGGGATCCCAGGCTGTGGTCCTCTATCAAAACCTCTGCCTGGTGCCACAGCTGGGGCTGTGGTGATCTGTAGCAGGGTGTGATGGAGTGTGGGCCCTAATGCCAGTGCCTCTGGTGCTGTGTTTCAGATAAGCTGTCTGTCTCGGAAGGCTCCTTGCTGCTCTCTGCGGATGCCATCTGGGGAGCTCTCAGAGGTGAGGAGTGCTTTCTGCGGGGCATTCCCGCTCTCCCTGCCTCAGGCCTACGGGGAGGTCTCTCTGTGCCTTTCTCTTTCCGTAGACTTATTTGTTAATTGAGCTCTGTTCCTTTGGGGGAGTCTGTGCTGAGAAAGTGACTGCGTGTGGTTTTCCTGCAGGCCTGGAGACGTTCAGCCAGCTCATTGGGAGAGACGAGAACGGCACGGTGAGTCCTGGCCTCATCTCCTGGGGGCAGGGAGCTCTCTGTGATGCTCCTGCCTCCGTGGGGACAGGCTGAGGATTGCTGGGATGCTGGGGATGAGGGGGACACCAGCAGTACAGCCTTGCCAAGGGCCAAGTAGGGATTCATGAATGCAACCAGATCCCTGCTTTCTGCACGGGTAAAGCATCACAGCTCTTTCTGGCCCACTTGCACATTGGGCAACGAGGCTACCCCTCCTTGTCCTGCTGGCCCTGGGGACAAAGGTGACCCTGATTGTCTCCTGTGTTGCCTGGAGCCCTGTTCACTTCTTCCCTGTGTTCTCTGTGTGCAGTACTACATCAACAAGACAGAAATCGTGGACTTTCCCCGCTTCCCTCACCGGGGGCTCTTGCTGGACACCTCTCGTCACTACCTGCCTCTGAGAGCCATCCTGGAAACCCTGGTAGGGTGCCTGTGCCAGGAGACCGGGTGGTTTAGTTGGGTGTCCCTTCCTTTGCGACAACCAAGGGCTCCTTGAGTGGCCTGGAGGACTTTTTGGGTTTTGCATCTTGCTCTTTTCCAAAGATCCTAGGAGCTGTCTAATGCATAGGCCACTGCATCTGCATCTCATCGAGGAAGAGCTTGTCCAACACAGGCTTTTTAAACAAAACCAGTTTGCCTGACACTGGATGAAGCAGCCAGCTGGGTTGGGCTGGCACCATGACCTCAATTCTTAATACACAGATGTGCATCATGGAAAAATGCTTCCGTGCTGTACGTCCTTCCCAGTGCCCGTGGCTATGTTTGCTCCTGGTGTAACTTGGAGCTGCTTTGTTTGGGTGATTTCTCAGCTCCCTCTGTAAAAAGGATAAGGAAGCAAACCCTGAGGTATCTTGGATCCCTGCATTCCAGATTACTGTCCAAGGCTGGGTTGTGTCTGAGGCAAGGGAAAACACTGATTTCTTCCCAGCTGTGTTAGGCAAACGTGGGTGGTGGTTCTGTGTCCATCCCAAGCCGAATTAAACTTCCAGGCCTCCATTGGCTCAGCTACAGGGAGAACAGGGATTTTATTGTGAGCAAAAGTACTGCTGGCCCTCTGCAGCTCTTTGTGGTGCTGGTGTGTTCGAAGAGAGGTGTCTGAACCCCTCTTGGATCCTGATGAGCCTTTGGGGACTCTGCCTTGTCGTTTCGGAGCGCAGGGACCTTGTCCCCTTTCTGTGGCAAGCTGGGTGACCTTTCAGAAGGGAGAGGGCATGTTCATCTTTGTTCCTGTTCCTTCCAGGACGTCATGGCTTACAACAAGTTCAATGTGTTTCACTGGCACATCGTGGACGACCCGTCTTTTCCCTATGAGAGCTTCACCTTCCCAGAGCTCAGCAAGCAGGTGACCCACCCCCATCACCGCGTAGCACCCAGCCCAGGGCGAGCAGATCCCTCCTGGGGCTCCTGAGCAAGGTGCTGAGGTTTCCTGTGTTCCTCAGGGAGCCTTCAACCCCATGACCCACGTGTACACAGCCAGCGACGTGCAGACGGTGATCGAGTACGCCCGGCTGCGTGGCATCAGGGTCATCGCAGAGTTTGACACTCCTGGGCACACGCTCTCCTGGGGGCCAGGTGAGGAGCAGACCCTCCTGCCGCTGCTGCTGGAGGGTCGTGGTTGCACCAGGGGGAGAAAGGGGATCTGCAGCCTGCACCCCAAAAGCCGGGTGTGGGCAGCCGTGTCCCACGGGCTGGCTTTGAGGAGGAGCAAACCATCGTCTGGGAGAAGCAGGACCCAGTGGTCCAACTTCTGGAACAAAATCCAAAGGGAAAACTTTTTGGTGATTTTCTGGGGGGGGAACATTTGCTCTACCACAACCAACATCCCAGGTATTGGAAGGATCTTGGAGGTATGTCTGACCAAGCTTCCTCGCTCTGCTCGGCTGTGCCCCAGTCTCTGCTCCAAGGACTGCAAGTGCCACCTCTTCCATGTCTGGAAGTGTGAGAAGCTCCAGGAAAACGTTGCCTTGTCTTTCTCTCCCCTTCCCCTGCCCCCGGATGCCATGGCCCACACTGGAGAACATCCAGTGCCTGTCCCCCTTCCCCACCTGCAGCGGGTGTGCGGAGCTGGGAGAAGGTGCTGGGGACTGCCCTGGCATTACCCTTCCCCAGCAGCTCCGTGTGTAGCTTCCTGTAGGAATCTCCCCAAAAAAGCAGTGGGGCCCACAGGGGAAATCCATGAAGGGTGGAAACTCACCTCCTGCAAGGATTTGGTGTGTCTGTGTCCCATCCCAGTACCTATTGCAGGGAGGGGATGTCCCATCTGAAAGGCTTGAGCCCTGCTGATGGGAGTGTGAGTTTGGGGCAGTGGTGGATGTGTGTGGGGGAGCACAAGATGGGCACAGAACACAGAGCCCTCCCCATCAAGTGAGGCTTCCTGAGCCAGAGATTGTTTTTCTGCTGCTGTGTTTGTGCCTGGTGTGCCATGTCCAGGACTTCTGTCCCCTGGCACGCCCTGGGCCATGCTGAGGAGGGTCTGGAGAGGTTATACAGGGTGATATGGCCATGCTTAGCTCCTTCCTCACTCTCCTGTGTTTGTTATGATCCAGGTGCTCCGGGCCTGCTGACTCCCTGCTATGTGGGCAAGGAACCTTCTGGGACCTACGGGCCCATCAACCCCATCCTTAACAGCACCTACAAGTTTGTGGCCAGTTTGTTTCAGGAGGTCAGCACTGTGTTCCCAGACTTTTTTCTTCACCTCGGTGGCGATGAGGTGGACTTCACGTGCTGGTGAGTCTCACATCGTCTGGATGGGGACTGGGGAGAAGTATCTGGGACTGGAGACCCAGCCCATTGTTTTTTTGCTCCTGATCATCTGCAGATCTTTGGTATCCTGCTCCCCTGGGCTCTGTGTGTTGGTGCCTGGGGTTTCTGTGCTCTTAGTGGGAAGCCACAGCTCTTGGAATGTCTGGGCTGGCTTTGGACCGATGTGGGAAGGACTTGGCCATGTCTTGGCCTTACTCCAGAGCTGGGGTTGGAGTGCTTTTGTTCTCTTCTCTTTGGTACCCAGGAAATCCAATCCAAAAATCCGTGCCTTCATGACGGAGATGGGCTTTGGTGAAGATTACAAAAAACTAGAGTCCTTCTACATCCAGAGGTAAGGACGGTGGCATCCTGGGCCTGCAGCTGCAGTATGTGACCAGCACAAATGTCTTCTGCTGTCTCGGACACACCAGATCTTTTCAGGAGCACGCCCATTCAGGCATGTCTCCCTGATGCCCAAGGGAGTAGCCTTGCAGTGTTTTATTGGGAGATTGACCAGAAAAAAAGCCTGGAGCTGAGGAGAAAGAAGCCCCGTAAGGGGTCATGCTTTCTCCCTTGTCCTTCAGAAGTACCTTCACGTCTCGCTGTGGGTGCTGGAGATGTTGGTGCTGCTGCTTTGGCCATATGCTACCAGCAAAGAGAGGGCAGTGTGGTTGAGATGACCCCAAAACTCAGTGCTCTTTTCTCTCCAGGCTTCTGGACATTGTCTCTTCCCTTGGCAAAGGTTATATCGTGTGGCAGGAGGTGTTTGACAACAGTGTGAAGGTGAGAGCTGCATGGGCCCGGGTGAACAGTGACAGCACGCCCGGCCAGTCGCACTGGTGTGCACTGGTGCAGTGCTGGGCTGCTGGGGGGTCCTCTGTTACTGGGCTGGGGTTGGCCTTGAGATGGTGCTGCTGGTGAGCTGCCCTCAAGGTGGCTTTGTCACATTGCTGTCAGCAGGCTCTTCCCTCCAGGTTCTTGCATATGCCCCTGCAAGAGGCAGGTTTTAAACCTTTTTAAAACCTGGCCAGGTGGGTTTTAACACTCTGCAAATGGGCTTGTCCCTCCCTCTGTTGCTTCTGCAAACCAGATGGGAAGTGGCTCAGAAAGTCAAGCCAACGCCTGCCTCGATTTCCCTTTGGGAGTGTTTGGAGCTGTGGATGGGTCAGGGCACTCTGCTTGCGAGGGGAGGTGAGGCTCTTGTTGCCACACTGATCCCGTGCACGGGGTTCACGTGTGCTCCTCAGGTGAGGCCAGACACCATCATCCATGTATGGAAGGAGAACTCCACGCCCTACATGGAGGAGATGGCAAATGTCACCAAGGCTGGCTACCGGGCTCTGCTCTCTGCTCCCTGGTATCTCAACCGCATCTCCTACGGGCAGGACTGGATGGTGGCCTACCAAGTGGAGCCCTTGGGGTTTGAAGGTGTGTTCCTTGTGTCCCCTTCCCTTATGGCAGCTGACTTGTCACTCGGAGGTGGCTCCAGGGCTGGCTGTCTTGCTAATCCATTCTGGCTGGTGGTGTGAAGGTGCTTGAGTGACCGTGTCCTCAGTTCGTGTGCTGTGTCCCAGCTCTCCTGGGGGTTTGGGGTGTGGGCTTCCAGAATGGCAAGTTATTGCCCCCATAGCTGAGCCACTCTCTGCTGTTACAGCCACCTCTGTGGGCAGGGCAATAAGTCACCCCGTTATCTCACAACACCCCGTCCCCTGAACGCTGTGTCCTCTGGCAGGCAGCCCCGAGCAGAAGGAGCGGGTGATCGGCGGAGAGGCCTGCATGTGGGGGGAATACGTGGACGTCACTAATCTGACCCCCAGGCTCTGGTAAGAGAAGCCATGGGGAGGTTGGCTTGAACCGCGTGGGGCAGGACTCGGGCCCCTTTCCCTTGTCACTGAGCCACTTGTGCCACACGCTGCAGGTTTGGTCTGCACGTGGTGCTTGTCCCTGTCCCCTGGCAGCACCTCTGTGCTGGTAACAGGCTCACTGAGGCTTAAATCACAGAATCACAGAATGCTATGGGGTTGGAAGGGACCTCTGGAGATCATCCAGTCCAACCCCCTGCCAAAGCAGGGCCACCCAGAGCAGGTCCCACAGGAACGTGTCCAGGTGGGGTTTGAATGATCTCTCCATTGAGATGGAGACTCCACCACCTCCCTGGGCAGCCTCTTCCAGGGCTCTGCCACCCTCAAAGTGAAGAAGTTCCCCCTCATGTTTAGATGGAACTTCTTACATTCAAGTTTGTGCCCGTTTCCTCTTGTTCTGTCACTGGGCACCACTGAGAAAAGACTGGCCCCATCCTCCTGACATAAGTATTTATCAGGCATTGATCAGATCCCCCCTCAGTCTTCTCTTCTCCAGACTAAAAAGACCCAAGTCCCTCAGCCTTCCCGCAGCAAAAATCCTCCAGGGCCCTCAGCATCTTTGTGGCCTCTGCTTTCCCCTTTCCAGCAGTTCCCTGTCCTTGAACTGGAGGGTGTTTGTAGGGCTGTAACAGGCCCCTGTACAACCTGCTGCTGCAACCAGCGCGTGTTGAATCGTAGAATCGTAGGATGGTTTGGGTTGGAAGGGACCTTAAAGCCCATCCAGTGCCACCCCCTGCCCTGGGCAGGGACACCTCCCACCACACCAGGTTGCTCCAAGCCCCCTCCAACCTGGCCTTGAACCCCTCCAGGGATGGGGCAGCCACAGCTTCTCTGGGCAACCTGTTCCAAGGTCTCTCCACCCTCACTGGAAAGAGTTTCTCCCTAATGTCTAACCTAAATCTCTCTTCTTTCAGCTTAAAACAGTTCCCCCACGTCCTATGGCTCCCCTCCCTCATGGAGAGTCCCCATCTCTCATATAGGTCCCTTTTAGGGACTTGATGGTCTCTGATGTTGCTGGTCTCTGTCCTGTCACCCTGCTCCTGATCCACACGTGTCTGGGAGCTGATGTTTCAATACGTGACAGACTTTGGTCGGGAAGGTGTTTGGGAGCTCGGGGAGCTTTCCAGCTCCCCCCTGACCCCCCTGCCTCTGTCCTTCCCTCCTGAAGGCCGAGAGCTGGGGCTGTGGCCGAGAGACTGTGGAGCAACGCGACCGTCAGGGACCTGCAAGATGCCTACGTGCGGCTGGCCGAGTTCCGCTGCCAGCTCCTCAGGTGAGAGTCCCTCCTGGCAGATGCCACCCCCTCCGGGGTGTCCAGTCCTGGGGAGGGGCAGCCAGGGTGAAGTGGGCTTTTCCTGCTGCAAAACAACCCTCGTTCCTACGGAAAGTCCTGAGCTTTTCTCCTGCCTGTGCGTGGGCAGAGCTTGTGCGGTGCTGGAAGAGAGCCCCTGCTGCCAGCGTGGGCTGGTGGCTCTTGTCAAGGAGAGGGCTTTGTGCTGAGGAAGAGGGGGGGGACCCATCAGCCATTCCCCCCCCTGCTGCAGCACCAGCTTCCTCAGGAAACCCACCCTTACACTGTGCTTCCACACCTGAGCAAAAAATTGAATCTCTAGGCACAGGATGAGAGCAGTTCCCTCGTTGTGGCACCTGAAATGGGCGCCGATGGCCACCCTGTGCTCCTCGGACCTTCTGACCCCATGGTGGGCCCTGCCTGTCCCCTCTGCCTCATGCCATCTCTCTCCTCTCTGTCTCCAGGCGCGGTGTCCGGGCGCAGCCTCTCTACGTGGGATACTGTGAAAGTGAATTTGACGGGTTTTGAAGGGAGATTCCCCACACGGGAGGAACGATCCCACCCTCTCGAAAGCTGCTGGTTTGGCCAAGGGGCCCCTTTCCCACCCCCGGCTTCTGCTCTCCCTTTGTTGCAATGAACTTTTTTTTTTGTCCCCTTAGTGTGCGGTCTTTGCCTCTTTTTCTATTTTTAATTCTTTAAATCTATAAATAAATGACCCCAAAGAGGAAAAAGGTGCTTTTTCATGCTCAGCTGGGGCTTGGGAGACCGTGCAAGGGCTTTTGTTGGCAGGAGAACGGGTAGGGCTTGCTCCAGAGAGCTGTGTCTCACCCTGGTGGCTCCGGAGCTTGCTGGGTGCCTGCCCAGGCTGCGTTTAGTCTCTGCTGCTGTCACGCTCCGTCCCTGCAGGGAGAAGGTGCTGAGAAGTTGTGGACACCCCCACTTTTCTCCTTGACGTTCCACCATCCGCACCTGGACAAGGCCCTACTGCATGGTGACCTTGGTTCTGCTTCTGTGGCCCTCCACGCGCCAGCAATCAGCCTGGTGCTGCTCCTGTCCTCCTCTGCCTCCTCTCTCTGCGTGCATCCAGGCAGGAGGCTTCTCTGCCAGCCACCATCCTCCTCCTCTGGCCTCTCCTGAGGAGAAGGCACTCCCAGGAGACCTCAAACCCACGGAGCTGAGCCATTGCGTGGATGTCACAGAGTCACTGCTCAGCTCTTCCCTCAGCTGTTGCCTCTGCTCAGGATTTGGCCAACTGCTCCGTCCTCCTCGGGGTGGGAAGCTCAGCTCCAGGTCTGCATCTGAGAGGTTTGGGTAGTATTTTCCTTGGAGAAGAGACGGGTGGTGCTGCTGTCCCACAGAGCTAGGACAGTTGGGGTGCTTGTCCTTCCATGGTCGGGGTTGCCCTGCTGGAAATCAGCTCAAACCCGGGGAATCTCTCTGGGAGAAGTCCTGGCCCATGGGACTGTTGTTCACGTGTCTTGGTCTTCAGTGAGTGAGAGCTGCTGGTGTGGCTGGAAACCCTTTACTATTGAACTTTAAATTAAAAATACTGAATTAACTTTCAATTAAAGATATTCAGAGGTTGTCAAGTCTTGCATTTCTTCACCCTCTGGCAAAGGGACACCCAAACGCTGCTCCTCTGAAGCGCTACGTCTTGAAAGGGAGGGGAAAAAGCTTGTGAAGCCCAACCACCCCTGAGTGGAGAAGTTGAAGCAGATTTGGGGCAAAGAGGGATGTTTTTTTCCCCTTCCTGAGGGTGGGACAGGAAAGGCTGCCTCCCCGTGCCCTGTGTCCTGGGAGAAGATGCTCCTCTGCCTCCTCCACATCTGGAGGAGAAACTTGTGCCCCTTTTCTCCATTGTTTAGGTTGTGTAATTAGTGCTCCTTCCTCCCTACCAGACCTGGCACCAGCAAACACTGATTGGAAGCTTCTCATCCCCATGAGGACATCTTCTCCTCTGACCCGAGTCCCCACTGATGCCACCCAGTGCCCCCGCGGCATCTTTTGGGGTTGGCTTCGGGAAGCGTTGCTCTACAGCACAAACACCTCAGGTAGTACTTGTGGAGCAGAAGCTTCTGGTCCGGGCTGGTGGCTTCTGATGCTTTGGACCTGGGCATCTGCTCCATCTCAACCTGGCCACCTCTGCCTGGCCCTTCCTGCAGCCACGCCGGGGGGAGGACACCTGGGAGGCCATCGTTGGCTGCTGGGATGGGGCTGCGAGGGGGTGGCAGGCACAGAGGAAGGGGGGCAGTAGCTCCTGGTTTTGAAAGCTGGGGGGTTCTCCTTGGGTGGTTTTTTCCCCCCAACACAGTGTAGATGGGTACCTGCACCAGGTGCTCTTGTCACGGCAGGGAGCTGCTGGGGGGGCTGGGGCCGAGGGGGAGCCTGGCCCTGGGGTGGGTGTTCTCCTGGGAATGATGCTCTGCTCCTGGGAATGATGCTCTGCTCCCAGGGACAATGCTGTGCTCCTAGAAGGGGGCTCTGCTCCCAGGGACAATGGTGTCCTCACAAGGAGGGTGTTCTGCTCCCAGGAAGGATGCTCTGCTCCTGGGAAGGATGCTCTGTTCCCAGGAATGATGCTCTGTTCCCAGGAATGATGCTCTGTTCCCAGGAATGATGCTCTGTTCCCAGGGACAATGCTCTGCTCCTGGGAATGATGCTCTGCTCCCAGGGACAATGGTGTCCTCACAAGGAGGGTGTTCTGCTCCCAGGAAGGATGCTCTGCTTCTGGGGATGATGCTCTGCTCCTGGGAAGGATGCTCTGTTCCCAGGAATGATGCTCTGTTCCCAGGGACAATGCTCTGCTCCAAGGGATGGTGCTCTGCTTCTGGGAATGATGCTCTGCTCCCGGGAATGATGCTCTGCTCCCAGGAAGGGTTCTCTCCTCCCAGGAATGCCACTCTGCTTCTGGGAAGGATGCTCTGTTCCCAGGAACAGTGCTCTGCTCCTGGGAAGGGTACTCTGCTCCCAGGGACAACAGTGTCCTCGCGAGGAGGGTGTTCTGCTCCCAGGGATGATGCTCTGCTTCTGGGAATGATGCTCTGCTCCCAGGGACAACGGTGTCCTCCCAAGGAGGGTGTTCTGCTCCCAGGAAGGATGCTCTGCTCCTGGGAAGGATGCTCTGTTCCCAGGAATGGTGCTCTGTTCCCAGGGACAATGCTCTGCTCCAAGGGATGGTGCTCTGCTTCTGGGAATGATGCTCTGCTCCCAGGAAGGATGCTCTGCTCCTGGGAAGGGTGCTCTGTTCCCAGGAATGATGCTCTGTTTTCAGGGACAATGCTCTGCTCCAAGGGATGGTGCTCTGCTTCTGGGAATGATGCTCTGCTCCCAGGAAGGATGCTCTGCTCCTGGGAAGGGTGCTCTGTTCCCAGGAATGATGCTCTGTTTTCAGGGACAATGCTCTGCTCCAAGGGATGGTGCTCTGCTTCTGGGAATGATGCTCTGCTCCCAGGAAGGATGCTCTGCTCCTGGGAAGG